AATGGTGGTAAGAAGATGAACTAATAAACATGCTATGTATGTATCTATATATTTTAGGTATGTGATCACCGAATGCGTGCTATACCATGTTCTGACCGACAACGAAAACACTTTGAAGACGAGTTTTGGGATTGTGGGCTGAAGACTGTTCACACCGGCTGTTAGTGTTTCCGTTGACATTTCTTACACCCTCTGATTACAGTTTTGCTATGCAAAAACCAAACCAAAATGCTTTTCCCTCATTTTCTTTTCATTAGCAACCTCTTACTTTCATTCTTATTTTACCTTGGTCAGCCAATTAACAATAAATCCGAAATGGTGTATTAAAGATGATAAAATATGACTTCCACTTCGATAAATAATCGAAAAAAAATAGTGAAGACACCGACTGGAATGAGTGGAACATGAGTTTTCAAGTAGTTTTCAGCGAAAACTGGTTTTCGTTTGACAGATTTTACACGGACGAAAACACAAGTTTTAGGTCGAAAACCAGTTTCAGCAACGAAAACATGTTTTCGATGTCGGTCAGAACATGGCATTAGGGCTGTCAACGGAAGATTTGGAAGTGCGTCACATGATTCCCATGTATGGAACTTGTCAAGCGAGCGGGACTATTTAAAATCAAATTACAAGAATGGAGACAATGGTGTGCGAATCCTTGGTAAGTTCCTTTTTTATGCGCTGTACATTAACGAAATCTTTTATTGACAATTGTTATACTACCATCTGGATATCCGATGGAACCATGGCTATTAACTCCGTGTAGAAATGATGCGGGGAATTGTGACGAGCTGTTTTTTAATCAAAGTTTATCGAAAGGAAGATCACTACTAGAACGAGTGTTTGGCGTGTTAAAAGGCGGATTTAGATGCCCTTGAGCTGCACGAGAACTTCATTATGCTCCAGAAAGATAAGATACTAAATGTATGTTGTGCTCTTTACAACATACATATGTATTATGTATAATGTCGAGCAACCTACCGATATTAGAACTCAGCCAGAAGAAACTGTAACCGTTAATGCTGATAATACAGAAGAAATAAATTGCAAGAAATAATTGATTAAATTGAGAGAACTTCAGTCTTTCGTTACATATTAATTAAGATTATTAGGGTTTGTTATATTTTTATAAAATAATTAGAATAAAAAGCACAAAAACACATAAAAAAACATAAAAATAATATTCAGTGTTTACAAAAAAAAAGTTTGACTAATTCATCACATCATGCTTGATTAGCATTTTAGCAAGTTTAGTTTACTATAAGAAAAACCTTGTAAATCAAAATCAATTAGAAAGCTCAAATTTTGACGAAGCTTTGATTGAAAAGGTCTTTTATGATGATCTTTTATGTCTGAGGCTATTTGTTTTTATTTCAAAAGTTAACATTTCTTTTTGCAGTTCTAACTTACTTAATCTTAATTTTAAATTTTCACGGTAAATTTTTTGTTTGTGGAGAAATTTTTCTCTTGCAAGTTTAAGTTTCTGTTTTTCTATTTTTCTTTTCATATTTTTAAAAATGATATTTAAAACTTTACCCGAATGCTTGTGGTAAGCCATTTGGTTTTCA